AAACGATTGTTTTGATTTTTGCTGATTGGCCGAAATCACGTGACTGCCACTTTTTTTTCTGGATGGCTAGGGTACTGTGATGCAAATCTCTATCGACCTCAGGATCCTGTGATTAGATTTTTGACGATTTTGGATCCATTAGAATCGTCTCATCGAGACGAACATTTTGGTAATTTTTTCATCGCAAATGGACCAGTGGATCAAAAGTTATTTACAGTTAAATATTATTAGAATTTTTAATAGTAAATTCCAAAAATCCGCCGATATGTTCGAAAAAAATCTTCACTATAAGCCAATCTTCACTATATCGAAGATTCACAATAACAAGAATGACTTGTATTATAAGTATCCGTGCTTGATACACTACGTACAAATGTTAATTGCCTTCAATAATTGTTGCGGCTGAAGCTGGAAACGGCTGAAGCTGGAAATTTTAAATATTTTAATATGAAATTTTGGCTTTTTTTTCATGGTTAGATTAGGATTTAGGGTTAGTTTTGATAATGAAAGAGTATAACGATCAGTGGATTTTGGCAAGGTTTATATTTTTAAATCAGGGTCCCTGATTTCCAGCTTCAGCCGTTTCCAAAATCAGCCGCGACAATAATTACCTAACCAAAGAATAAAATTCTTTTATTTGAATTTTAGCTTTTTAATGCTAAACCCTTTAACCGGACTAGTCAAATTGGCCAGGTCAAGATTGAACATTGACTGGTCTGTGCACACGATGATTTAAATGTAACAGTCGCTCAATTAAATAGAAATACCGTTCTATTCCCGGATCTTTATACATATCAGATTTTGAACTTATTCTATAACAAACCTCCGGAACATCCAATTCGGTATAGAAGAAGCGACTACATGTGGGACAGATTTAAGAGTAACGAAAATGCGCTGTATCGGACAAGTAAATCGTTTACTCCGAGTCTCTGATCACGGGATTAAACAATTCCGTGTAACATTACTGCGATCGCTCAGTAAGAGCTCCAGCAAAGAATCAATTTCACCTCTGATACATTCTTTCTGATAAGTCTGAAAATTCAATTTATTTCGTATTTTACAGGTACTTGTTAAGAGGTGTAGTAGCAGGCACAGTCTAATAATCTAGGATCGTGTTTATCCTTTCAAATAGAATGTTGTTTGTTCACCTACACAAATGTTACTTGCTTTGCTGATAAAATAAAGATTTTGCTATCTATACATAAAGTTACTTGTGAAGCGTGTCGTTTCAGGCAATGATCAGAAAACACGTTTTTCGTTTCTCGTGTTTTTGAATATTACAAAACTTTCTGTTCCCTCTTCGATATGGTGGGCAATAATATATAGGAAGCATTTGTAGCCTTATCGTATGGAAAGGCTAATGTCACACAAAGGAAAACGTTTAATACAGTATTCAATCTGATCGGATATTACTCTTTTTTTTTCTTTCCACTATTACATCGACTGGTCTTTTAAGAAATAGTGAAAATGAGTCATACAGTACTTGGATTGCTGGAGAAGGTGATTGAACTTTATATTTGCATCGAAACATTTTATCATCCACTAATATTATTCTTACTATATCGGTAGATGGACTCCAATGATACCGACTTTCGGTACATGGCCGCCAACGATTTAATGAACGATCTTCAAAAGCCTGACTTCACTTTAGACGAAACTAACGAGAAAAAAGTTGTTCAAAAAGTTTTAAAACTAATGGATGATGCTAATGGCGAAGTGCAAAACTTGGCAGTAAAATGGTGATTATCATGCGATGGACCGTTGATTATTAATTATCGTTTGTAACCTTTATCATGTAAATCATTTAGTCTCGCGCCACTTGTCAAAAAAGTTCGAGAGACACAACTAGCTGAAATCATTGACAAGCTTTGTGAATACGCTACACAGAAAAAGGAAGAACTACGTGACATTGCTGGCATCGGTATTAAATAAGTTATATGTAATGATATAAGCTATTCCTGAATGATCACTCACTTGTGAGTTTACTTGCCTCAGGATTGAAAACCGTCATTGTGGAAATACCAAGCAACTCACCAAATGCTGGTAGCGTCGTGCAGAGATTGATTCCAAAACTTCTTTCACAACTAGAGAATGTAAGTAAATGGTTTGTTACCTTGTAAAATTCATATGCTTTACTTATAATCAATATAATATAAGTCAAAGGCCACGTACGAAGTGCAAATGGATACCTTGGATATCTTAAGTGAACTCCTTGCTCGTTTTGGTAGTTCGGTGGGTAACAATGTAACATCACAGAAACGGATTCAGAATGTTTTGGTGCCTTTATTGAGCCATTCGCGTCCAGCATTCAGAAAGAGAACTACTATTGCTCTTGGTAAGCTTATGTGGTATTTTTTTTACTTTACTGTCAGAAAATCTTGACCGGCTTAATCCTATAGGTAATCTTGTGACACATGCTCCCGATGATCTATTTAACGAACTGGTGCAAAAATTATTGGCTGAATTTGAAAGAGCTCAAAATCAGAAAGATAACTTGAAGACTCTAATTCAATGCGTTGGCACATTAAGGTACGCTTACTTGAATCTAGAATTCGTCACACGTTAAGAATTAAGCATCACTTAATACAATGATAATATTTTTTAAGTCGTTCGAGTGCTCCACGACTAGGAAAGTATTTACCCCAATTCCTACCGCTGGTGTTCGTCAATATTAACATAAATGATGACGAATTGCGCGAAAATTGTTTACAGGTGAATATATTTTATGACATTACCCTAAAATTCCTAAAATGCTAGATGATATTAATGTACAAAAATATTAGGCGCTTGAATCATTTGTATTGCGATGTCCAACGGAAATTACTCCAAACATCAACACTATCATTGAGCTTGGTTTAGTATATTTGAAGTATGATCCTAATTATAACAGCGATGACATGGCTGATGATGATGATGATGCCAATATGGATGAAGATGAAGAAATGGCAACCGAAGATGAGGAGGAGGAGGAAGAAGATGATGAGTATGTACATGATCATGGGATGCTATGTTGACGTGTTTATATATTTATTGTGTATGCGTATTCGTTCATAGGGATTATTCTGATGACGATGATATCTCTTGGAAAGTACGCCGTTCTTCATCGAAGCTCCTAGCTTCTATTATTGGCACGAGACACGAGCTTCTCTCCCAACTGTATAATAACGTCGCACCAGCTTTAGTCAGCCGATTTAAAGAACGAGAAGAGTCTGTTCGCGTGGATATACTTCAAACGTTCATTGTCCTTCTTAGGCAAACCCATGTTTATGGTGGAGAGGGTTATATTCCAAGAGAAAATGATCATGAACCAAAACGAAGAAGGGCTATTGGTCCAAGCGAATCACAAGAAAGGTATTGTAGCTTTCTTTTAATTATATTATTGATCAAATATTATGATAACTTATATTGTTTGTAACTAGTCCCAAACAGATGCTTCGAAATTTGGTTCAAAGACTAAGCCGCAATCTTTCTAAGCAACTTGTCTCAAAATCGATTATAACGAAACAAACAGGATTTTTGCTTCTACGGGAATTAGTCACAGTATTAAATGGGGGGCTTGATAATCATCTGAATACTTTTATACCTGCAATTGAAAGTTCCTTATCTACATCATCAGATACATCACATCATCATACAAGTACAAACTCTAATCTCAAGATTGAGACTTTAAGTTTCCTTCGGCAGTTGTTTAAGGTTCATCCTCCCCAAGTTTTTCACAAGCATCTTGCACGATTATGCCCTCCAATAATTTCATCCGTGCAAGATAGTTTTTATAAAATAACGTCTGAAGCTTTCTTGGTTTGTATTGAATTGATTAAAGTCATCCGTCCTATTGAATATCAGGAGAACACGCAAACATACAATGTGCAGCCACTAAATCCTGAGTTCCGACGATTCATACTGGACATTTATAATGTTACTATTGCGCGCCTTTCAACTCCAGACGCAGATCAAGAAGTCAAAGAACGATCAATAATGTGTTTGGGAGTTCTTATTTCACAAGCTGGAGATAATTTACAGGATGAGCTTAAAGCGTGCATGCCAATATTATTGGAGCGATTGCGAAATGAAGTTACTCGCTTGACTACTGTCAAAACCTTCACGATGATAGCCGATAGTACTGTGTGTGAAAGTGAATATGTGAAGGTAGCGATAACAGATGCAATTCAGGAAGTTGCGAGTCTTCTTAGAAAACACCATCGTCAACTAAAAGTGGCTGCTTTAGTATGCCTGGAAGTATTTGTGCGTCGGTACGTTTAACTAGCTGAACCTCATTATGTCATATATATATATGCTTCTCACCATTAAAGAGCTAAATCAATCACAGGTATGGAAAATACCTTACTGCCAAGAGCTATTCCCACGTTCTTGTGGAATTAACGCCTCATATTTCCGACCAAGACCTCCATCTATTACCATTAGCATTGAACACAGTGGTTTCAGTTTTACGTACTAATCCTGCCTCACTAGATCCTGTAAACAATGATATTCTACCGTCCATTTTTCAACTTGTGCAGTCAACGCTTGTTCAAGGGGCTGCATTGGACAGTTTACTTGTTTTATTCCGCACCTTGATCGAAACCGATGAAGATCACTTCAATAAATTATTGGATGGATTACTATCTCCCGTTCAAAAGAATCAAGATCTTAATCAATTAACTCTTTCGAAACAGGTAGGATTATTTATTTGTGTACCTTAGCATAATTATAATAGTTATTTAAGTTCGTATTAGCTGCTCATAATTCTATTTCCGATCCACAGGCGTATTCGACGATTGCACAATGCATTGCTACAATATGTGTGGCATCAAATAAATATCGTAATCAAACCGTAATTGACTTTTCCAGAAAAATAGCGGTTTGTGAAATTTTTAATATGTTAATTTCTATTTTAGATAAAATTAAGATACCATGTGTAATTTGATTTTATATCTGGTTTTATATAATTTGATTTTATTATAGGCCCAAAACCAATCCGACTCTATAAAATATCCATGTTTGTTGACTTTAGGTGAAATTGGACGTAAAGTGTAAGATTTTTTAATGTTGTTGTTCCTTGTGCAACATTTAATAATTTTATTAAATAATTAATCCTCTCGATACAGTGATTTAAGCGCACATTCGAATCTTCATGTGATTATATTAGCATTGTTCTCAGCACAATCAGAAGACATCAAATCAGCTGCTGCTTTCGCGCTTGGAAATGTTAGCGCTGGTAATGTCAGCAAATATTTGCCTATTGTTATTTCAGAAATCAACTCGGACCAAAGAAAGCGATATCTATTGTTACATTCGCTTAAAGAGGTAAGCGAAATATTAAATTTTATGTTTTTTATTGCTTTGGTTTTATTTATATTTGCTTTGTTTTTTTTTTTTTTTTTAGATTATTTCGCGCTATTCTAATGAAGATGGTGTTAAGGCATTGGGACCATTTGCCGATGATATTTGGTTTGTAATTATTATCCCGAGAATTATACATAGACGTCAGCGTCAGTAACAGATGATCGGATTTTTTAAACGTGTTTAGGAATATACTGTTTCAGAGTGGTGAAAATATCGAAGAAGGAACTAGAGGCGTTGTAGCGGAGTGCCTTGGCAAATTGACTTTGGCGAATCCAAATAAATTTTTGCCTGAATTACAGGTGTTATCAAACTTTCACAAATTATTTTTAACCTCCTTTTTTCTTTTATTAAAAAGAATAACTATAATTTACTTTCTAGAAACGACTTCGGTCTGATTCTGCACAAACTCGTGGTACTGTTGTCACAGCTATCAAGTTCACCTTTATTAATCAAGGCCAAGAATATGACGAGTTGTTACGACCTCTTATTGTTGACTTTTTGTCCTCGATTCAAGACAATGAGTTGGTTGGTATTATTAATACTTTTTTAAGAATTATTGTATTTACGCGCATAATTTAATACTAGTTTATTTTAAACGCTAGAATGTTAGAAGACTTTCATTATCTACACTGAACTCTGCCGCTCATAATAAGCCTTATTTGATTCGTGATGTTTTAGATCAACTCTTGCCGTTACTTTATGAAGAAACACTCATTAAAGTTAATATTAATTATTTTAGGGCTTATTTTATAGACAAGCATATTAATTGTTACTTTTTTGACTTTCATTTAGGATGATCTTATCCACATGGTGGAGATGGGACCATTTAAACATAAAGTAGACGATGGTCTTGACATCAGAAAGGCAAATAAATGTTTACTGTTGATTTATGCCACGCGTTTTTTTTTTGGCTTATTTAAGTTCTAAATCAACATTCACTTAACATATTAGTCTGCATATGAATGTATGTACACATTACTTGAAACTTGTCTCGACAAGCTTGAAATTTTCAACTTCCTCACACGTGTGATCGAAGGATTGTCCGATCAACATGATATCGCTATCCTCTCGCATACAATGTTAATACGGTTGGCCCATGTCGCTCCGACTGCCGTTTCGCAAAGTACGTATAATTTTATTAGTAATATAAAACCTTAAATTTTCCTGTAATTAGAATTATTGGTTTTTAAAAATAGGGTTGGATGAAACAGTAGAGCCATTAAAAGGAACTTTATCAAATAGAATTAAGGAAAACGCAGTCAAATCGGAAATTGACAAGAATAATGAATTATGTCGATCTGCTGTTAGAGCTGCGGTGGTTTTGAACAAGCTTGCCGAACAAGGTATGCTATATTTCTTGCGTAATATGTGTATTATAATTTTAGAATTTACATGTGGATTGCCACAACTGAAATATGCAACTTCTATTACACCTATAATTTGTATCGCTGACATTAATTCTGGGTATTTTTGGTAGCCGGAAGTACGCCGAAATTCGACGCTTTCGTAAAAGATACTAAAATTGGATCATGGAGTGATCAATTTAATATTTATCAAAATGAATTGGAAAATAAGGAATCTGGTTCGGGACACGTCGGTGATAGCATGGACACATCCTAATTTATTCCAAGGAAAAAGTTGAACTAGTCATATTCCAGAGTCACACTACCAAAAATGCTACTAAAATTAGTTCAGTATTTGCTGTTTTCGTTCTGTATAGTATGTTTGGTTAATGATTAAAGCAATAATAATATATAATTATGACGTTGAAGCTTTAGAGATGACATATATTATTGATGTCCTAATTGTTTTCTGCTTTTTATTCAGAATAATGAATATTGATTTTAAATATTTGTGGGTTTTTTTTGCACTTAATAGCTGTCTCTCATTTGTTAGAAAAATCAGCTTTTTAGAACTTATGAACGTAACACAAAAAAAAGGCCATAATCTTTTGGTTTAGTTAAAAAATCAAAAGTTGGTAGTTTTTTTTTAATCGGGTTACAATTTTACGTTATCTTTTAGAGATCCTAATTTTATCCAATCGGGAGTGCAATTTACCGATTTCCAATAGAAACTTGGGGGAAATTAGTAAACTTATTTCTGGGTGATATTATGATTAGTAGTAGTGCTCCGACCCAGGTAGGTGGCACCGGGTGGGCGGGTGACCCGGGTTGAGTTATGACCACTCGGGTGGTCAATCTGCGGGTCGGTTAGATAAGCGAAATTTTGAGTTATTTTAGAATCAATTCCAAAATTTAAAGAATTAAGCATGGAGACACTTTTTAAAAAGACACCGCAATTTTGCAAGCAGTTCATTATTACTAGAATTCTAAAAAGTTTGCTTGCTGTGTATGTATCTTCGTGTTTTAAAATGCTCAAGAAAAGTTTTTATAACATTTCTCGTTTTATATGTACTACCTCATAAACTATAAATATCCGGTGTGCTAAATTGTTATCATGTGAATATTGTAGATCATGCTGTGTATTCTTTTTATACCCGTTCTTATAATTATGGACAACCGTAGTATATTGCAAAACATGCAAAAAAGTAGCGGAGGGAATATATAAGCGATGTGGATGTGGTAATTGTAAAAGATGACCTCGAATAATTAACGTTTATTAATAAAATAAATCAGAATTAGCGATTTGGTATACATATATAATTTTCCATAATTGTCAACAAAGATATTCATTAACATGTGTTAGAAGAGTGCCCTAATTTTCCCACCACATCTAATTGGCTGTACTAATTATTCATTTATCGGAGCCAATCAAATTTCACGATCAGGTGTAACGTAAAAGAAACGCAAAAAAAATGCAAATTAAAAATCGCCCAGAACTCTAAATTCAATATATGAAACTGTCTTCTACGCAATAATAGAAAATTTTCCTTGTAAAATTTTGGTATAAGAAACGTCTTATAATTGTAATATAATTCCAAAGCGAATTTTTACTTGAAAATTTTTTTTGATTACTAATATAAATACAGTATACCCTCTCAAAACCGATAAAAAATTGATCCACCATAATTCAAACCCGATAACCTGCCATTTCTGATAACCGATACTCAAAAGATCAGATACCTATAAAATATCGGGGTTTTTCGGGTATTATAAATCAATTTGATTGGCTCATATCGAGCTTTGTGTGACCAAGTAGATACAGTATATAAGTAATAATAATATCCTGATCCGTTGGGAATTAGCGGAAACGGAGTTTCCGCTTATTCACATACGGTCAGGGTATTATTAATTAATACTCCCGTGATCTTGATATAGTGATCGGGGTATTATAAATATAATATAGCCAATTATATTTATTTATAGTCATGTGACTGGTGAGCTATTAGTATCCTGATAACCTGTCCACCATGCCTATTGAAATGGTGGGGAAATTAGTAAATCCGTGTGTTAGAATAGTTCCTTATCTGATTGAGGTTAGGGTACTCAGCCCCGCCTCGAAATTCGCAATAATAGATGTTAAACTTTAAAATGGGGGTTACACATGATCATTTTTTCTTTTTTTATGTAACCGTTCTTCCTTTTTTCGCTCAATTTCTACTTTTTTTCTTTCTTTTTCAGCTTCCCGATCAGCTCGTTTCTGGGGTCATCTAAAGCGGAGCAGAATCACGTGATATTTGACCAATCAAATTATAGAATTTTGATGATCGCCGGCGAAGCAAAACAAGAAATAAAATTGAAAAACCTGAAAAATACAAAAAACGGCAGTTTAAACCTGCCTCAGGTAGGTTAATTGAAAATGTCGGGAAGGCAATTTTGCTTATATATAACTACCTAAAACCTAACCTAACCCCAATATAAGATGACCCTAACCCTAATATTAATTCAATAAAATATATATTATAAGAATCTGCTTCGCTTTAGACGTCCCAGAATGTTCTAAACTAAATTCGGTCAATAGATTACATTTTCAATCACGCCAAAATGGAAATGATCGTTGTTGTTAAAAAATACCTGTATTAGAGTTATTGTCAGGGTAAGGGTAAGGCTTTAAAAGAAAAAATTATACTAAAATTTCGCAAGGAATTTTTTTTTTTTGCTAGAACGCAGAAGTTAGTTTCAAAATTTCAAGATAATTAAAAAAACGATCAATTTAATATTACACACTAAGATAAAAAGCGTAATTTCCAAATCGGTCATAGATGTACCTATATTAAACCTTGTATGTAGAAAGCCGTGTTCAATTTCTATTTAAAGCAAGTTTAAAAATTTTTTTCAAATTGCATATGATTTTTTTTATAGTGGATGATTCGGGTAATTTTTATATGTTTCCTTGACAAGACGTTCCCAGCTAAAAGGAGTTATTGGTTTGATATATAAAATACATAAAATGGTGGTTTTTTTTCAAGTTTTTTTTCAAAAGTTTATTTTTTTACAATGACAGAGCAATGGAGCTCAATGGTTATGCAATCAAAAAACTAGTATCTATTGGCTCCATTCAGAGCTCCATTGGTTCCATTCGCAGTTCTCCATTGTCAAACCTGCCCACGAGCCAATGAAATCATGAACCCGTCATCCCTTATTAAATCAAAAATTACAAACCTACTCACCCACTAAAATCAAAACATATATGTCTACTTATTGGATTCAAATCAATTACGAGTATGGAAAAGACAACACTAAAATTTTCATTTGGTTGGTATTAAAAACCTAGGTTTTATCTAACAAAATTCAATAAAGATAACAATAGCTTCTTTTTTTAGTTAGACTAGCAACTTACCCTATGTTGGAATATTCTGATTGGTCGATAATGTGATAGATAGACATTAGATTTTTAATAGATAGGATTATATGGGGGTGAGTCAATAGAAATCAAGCAAATTGTTTTTATTGAATTTTTTTAAAAACTTTATATACCAATAACT